AGCAGGAATAGAAATGGGCATTATTAGTGATGATTGTTTCAAGGTTCTCTGGTTTCATATCCCACATCCTCCTCCTTTGACTACCTTGAAGGGAATTAATTCTACTCTGGCTTTCCAGGAAAACCCAGTGAGAGTGCAGCGTAGTCTTTTATCAGAGACCTTACAGCTGTGCTTCATGAGGTGGCAACTACCACTTCTGTGGGGTGGTTCAAGGTACCTGTTGCACACAGTGGGCTGCAGTGTGGAGACTGAAGAGCTGTAAATACAACATTATTTCTTTGGATAAGAACTGTAGAGCTTTGCATTGAACCGAAAGGTTTCAGGCCATATTTTTCTCTGAACATCTGTGATAACTATAGAACTTAGACTGTGTAAGTTTTAGGTTTCTAGGTGTTTGTAAGACAAAACATTTGAGAGTCTTTTAGTGATAGAATTATGAGGAATAAGTGCTCACCTGAAATCTAAACCCTTGAAGTGGCTGCTGAGTTAATATTGTCTTTACTTCTTCACTCTGAAGCTTATTTTATTGGCAAGATACTTGCTTTCTGGATAGCTGTTGTGCTAATTTATGTTTGATGTTTTAATCCTGCTTTCATGGAAAGTCAGCCAATTCCTACACTTGTATTGTAAGGGTTTAAACAAAGCTGCCTATAAAGTGTGGGATTTAAAGCAATGCTGTGATACAAATTATAAATGTCACAATAGGAAAACACTGTTTTGACCCCGTTTCAAATTATGTTTACGATTACCAGTATTTCACAGTGAAATAGTGGTAGAGGAGCAGAAAGAATGCTGATGTAAAAGTACTATTGTGTTACCAAATGTCTAGTTTCAAGCTGTGCGTATGTGTGCTTGGGGAAATGCCAAGACTGTGAAGTCTTTGTTTCCAGTAAGTCTGAGGAAAACACCTAATTTTGATATTTTAGTTTTAAAAACCCATTGGTCTTTTAACAGATGTGAGATGAATAGATATGGGACTTGAACTGAAAAGCTTGCTTTTTCAGAAGAGTTCCTGGAGCAAGAAATACACCAGAAAGCAGCCCCCTTCTGCCATCTGCACTTGGCAGGTGTGGTTTGTCATACCAGGCTCTCTCAGGTGTGGTTTGTCATACCTGGCTGTACAAGGGACATGATGTACAACTTTCTCCAGTTACTTCACATCCTTCTGTACCTGAAGTTCTGTGGATCCTGTTTTTTAGGACCCACAGATAATCATTGTGCTCTTCAAGGCATACCTGGGGACAGTTTTTACCTTATAATACCTCTTCAGTGTCAACTTTAATGCAGGGAAGTAGAAAAATCTTCAGAGTTTAGTCATTCATTGAGCTGTGAGAACCTGAAAAGTATGAAGGCAGCAGTCAGTCTGTTGTCCTGACTTGCACCTCTGGATGCTGTTGACTCTTTTCACATATCCATAATTTCACAAGGTTGTCTCATGTTTGAAATACATGTCCAGAGTCTGTCTGACATGAATATGTGAGAGTGTGTGTGTGTGTGTATGTATATATATATATATATATATATATATAACTGAACATGATGTAACTTCTGGTGTGAAGGGGGGGATAATGAAATATAGACTCATCAGTCTAATGTCTTACTCTCCTCTTTTAACTCAGTGTGCTGTTAGGGAACAGTATAAATCTTTGGAATTGGTTGAACAACAACAAAAACAACCTGTCATTTCCCTCCCCTGCCCCCCGATCACTTTCTGTGTGTGATCCTGGGGTTTCAGTTTGGAAGACAGAAATGTTTAACAAGCTTTAGTAACGTTGAAATGAAAGCCAGAATTTCTCTGAAAGCAAAACCTTAAGTTCCCTAAATCTGGATCATGAGCATGCACTTAACTGAGCCCTTTCCTTTAGAGCAGTGACAGGATACAGCACTATGCTTCTGCTGTCTTACAAGACCACCTACGACAGGTAACTTTGTTCTGTGTCCAGATGGGTTGCATGTCCTGAGGTCAGTTTTTTAGAATAACTCACAGCAGAAGCAATTAATAGATTTCAGAAGCTGGTGGGTTTTTTTCCATGAACTTTGGGAAAAGTACAGTTCTGTATTTGATCATTTCAGAAGGTGGCTTAAAAAACGCAAGCAAACCTGAATGCTTTCTAGAGTATGATCTAGAAAACATTATGGAGACCACTGTTTGTTTCAATAATCATGATTTCTGCAGTGATGAGGCAGCAGTAATTTAACTTGCTCTATCACAAGCAGTGTGCTTGTGTACAAATAGAAAGTGTTATTACTCAGTGGGTACATGATGCTGTATTACTTGTTCAAAACTTGTCCTATAGAAAAAAAGACTATTATTGTAATAATGTTTTACATCCCTAGTTGACACTTTTTCTGATCTACTTCCTTCCTTGACCCGTTATTGTAATAATGTTTTACATCCCTAGTTGATCTACTTCCTTCCTTGACCCCCATCCTCCAAAAGAAATTGTTTAATTGAGCATGTAATCTTGCTCACCACCATTGCGAAGTGCACAAAGAGTGGTCCTTTTTCACAGTAATACTCGTGATCATTTCAGGCATTGTGCTGTGGTCTCTCCTGTTTGCCTAAACTTTGAATTTACTGAAAGATAACAAGTGAAGCAGTGGATGTACTCTGTACTTTGAACTTTTGAGGCTATTTGACTTGCTCTGTGTTTCTGTATTTAAACTTTATTTGTATAAATCTTTCTGTGATTACAGTTTGTTATTATTTAAGTCAGTCACCTAGGTTTGTGTTTATATGTAATACACTTACACTTGGAAATCTGACAAAATATTGTCTCTCAAGCACCATAAATGAAATTGATTATCAGAGCAGTAGTAGTTAGTAATGTACTTCTGAGGATTGTACCCAGGAGCAAACTTTAAAAGAATAATGCAAGTGGATGGGCAAAAAGTTGTATTTGCTGTAGTGTATCCTGAGGCATTTTTTCAAATCCTATTGTCTTTAAAGGTGAGCATCAGTCTTCACAGTTAAAAACTTGCTAGGAGGTTAATCTTGAAGGTAATGATAGTACTCTAAATTAATATAAATAATGTTATTTTACCTGAAGCAGTAAATGGAGGTTTTAATCCTCTACTTTGAAATAATTAAGGACCAATTCTAAAACAAAAGTTGAGAACAAATCAGAGCAGTGTCTTCAGTCCTGATGCTGCAGACAGGCTACAAGCTACCTTCTTTTTTCTCTTTTCTTTTTTCTTTTTTCTTTTTTCTTTTTTCTTTTTTCTTTTTTCTTTTTTCTTTTTTCTTTTTTCTTTTTTCTTTTTTCTTTTTTCTTTTTTCTTTTTTCTTTTTTCTTTTTTCTTTTTTCTTTTTTCTTTTTTCTTTTTTCTTTTTTCTTTTTTCTTTTTTCTTTTTTCTTTTTTCTTTTTTCTTTTTTCTTTTTTCTTTTTTCTTTTTCTTTTTTTTCTTTTCCCAACAAAGTATCATCCCATAGTGCTATTTTGCTTTTTAACTGTTTCTGCATCTTTTTTTTTTTTCAAAATACAGTAAGCATAATGAGGAAAAGGTTCTTGAGGCAGAGGGGGCTGGAGCACTGGAACAGGCTCCCCAGGGAGGGGCTCA